GTTACCTTTCACCTTAATGACAAAAAGACACGAACACTTCCCCCAGCACCTGATTATTGATTACAGATTATTGATAACAGAGCGTCTCACAGCAGCGTTAGGTGGCTCGTTAGCATGCTAACATGAACTAGCAGTGTGCTCATTCAGCTTCTTTAAAGACGTGCAACGTTAGCTGGCTAACGTTAGCCCCACAGACTCGACGTGCCCACGCACCTGCCCCTCAGTCGCGCCTGTGTTCAGTCAGCTGTTGCTGGTTTAAGTGGTCAGAGAGAAGATGACCACACACTGAATCATCCCACAGCAGTTGTAGCCAAACATTCCGCGAGCTAAGCTAACCGTTAGCCAGCTAGCTAGCTATTAATAAACCTAGCTATCAGTGTTTCCTGAGCACAGCGCGCGGCGTCTCGTGTACCTGCAGATCACAGTCCCGTGTCTCCATCCGTGTCTTTGGCTGAAGCTGGCACCATGCGTTTCATCTCTCCTCTAGCCTACATAACCGGACAAACAGCTTGTTGTTGTCATTATTGTTGTTGCTGTTGCTGCTGCTGCTCGTGCTGCTAAATATGAATATTGCTATGCCTTGCCTGGACCCGTTCTTCTCGCAGTGGCCAAAATCTCGCGATCGTTGGCAGGTCGACGAGTGCAGCCTTTATATGACAGCGAAACAGCTGAACTCAATAATGAGGATTATTTTCAACAACAACAAGAAACTTTAATTGTTCTAAAAATTAAAAAGCGATATTAAAACATTAGAAAATACACGAAATACAAACTAAATATTTTAAGGCATCGATAAAACGTTATGGAAAAAAGCCAGTCTATTGAATTTATTTTGTGTATTTCTTTTAATAAAAAACTGCTCTACTAGTGAGAGGAAGATTTGCCATTTACTGTTACTGTAGAAGTGATATTACTATAAGAGTAATATCTATAACTATAATTTTCCCATATTTCTGAAAGACCTGAATCAATTACACTGTAATTACTGACATATTGTCTCTGAGATTATCCCACAATATGCTTTTGATTTTCTGAATATTTCCAAATTTAACATGAGAAAAACTGTACCTTTAACTCACCATACAGCCACTAGATTTTCATCAAACAGCTGATAAAAAAAACGTATAAATAAACGTAAAAAGAAAAAATAAATCAACGTCTTGATGCATGCTCTATCATTCAGGTAAGGAAATCCCAAAAGGCTGATTCTGTTTATCTGCACGTAGCGTCACTGAAAACACTACGTGCAGAGAGACAGAATCAAGCTTTTGGGAAATAAATATACATTTACAGGATGTTAAAGGAAATAAAATACAAGAAGAGCACCTCCTCTACCTATTCTGTGTGGAATCCACAATATAAGGCAAGGAAATCTTTTTCCTGCTGTTTTTAATCAAGTAAAGTCAGGGTCTAAGCGATAACTAGTCAATATTTAAAGGAAAGCAGCAAATCTTCACG